GTTGTACATTTGCTGTTATATTAAAGTTTTTCTTCATTACCCATTCAAGCTGTCTCCAGCCATTATTAATTACTGTATTAAACTAACTTAGCTTTGAGAACAGTGAGGGATAATTCATCTATAAATATTAAGCACAGTTTTACATAAAAAAGTTTATCTTACAAAAAAATAATCAAAACATGGACATTACTTGTGAACAGGTCTGATCCAACACCCAATTTCTTTTATTTTTAACATTCTGATTGTTTTTTTTTTGTCTATAATAAGAAATTTCTTGCGATAAAGGCTAGATCTTAACATGATTACGTTAAAATAATGAAAATAGGAGACTCAAACAGTAATAACCATACATGGCATAGTTGTAATAATAATTACACCTTGACCATATAAAACCAACAGAATTTACGCAGTGGTCTATGTTCTCAATGAAATTTTACTAAAGTAAATGCCTGGTTTACAAAATGTGCTTTCTTCGTCAAGCTGAGGGTCAAACTGGGACAACATAATATCACTCCTTAGTAAATTAAAACTCTTGTCTTGTATTCTGATTACTATTATTGTAATAATGAATCACATCTGAAGCTCATAAAACACTGTTTATAAATGTTGGGCTATTATTCAAAATAATTTTCAATAAAAAACCTTATTAACATTATAATGTCAGAATTTCCTCATCTTTATTCCAGTTTTGGAACAAAGCGCTAGTTATATAAAAATAGCAATGCCCTTATACAAATATATTTGACATAAAACAAATTGTTTCTTATAAAGGTAGGTAAACACAGTGATGATGCACATTCAATTAACACATGAGAATACAAACACAACACCTTACAAAGTCTGTTTAAATGTAGCTATCAATATATATATATGGTATCGTATCTTTAACTAAAGGTCTTGAAATTAACATTACTTGCATTGACAAAAACAATTTTAAACACTTTAGAAAGAATATTTCAGTCTTGTAAAAGGTTTGTGGTCCACTATAAAACATAAGTGAATCAGACTGTGTAATGATGATTTTATTTCTCTCATTATGGATCTTTTGACTGTTTAAAAAGAGAACTTCACAACATCACACACTTCTTTTTCTTCCTGGGCTTAGGCTGAGGACATAAAACAGCACGAATAGCTTCATCGAAAACATTCTTCAAACCCTTTTGAGTGAGGGCTGAACACTCTAGATACTTAATGGCTCCAACCTCCTTAGCCATAGCCAATCCTTGAGGGTAGGTGATGGGGGCAAGTTTACGGTCTTTCAGCTTGTTGATGGTATCTTTGTCATCTCTCAGGTCTAATTTGGTTCCTACCAAGATAATGGGTGTGTTGGGGCAATGGTGGCCAACCTCTGGATACCACTGTTGGGGAGAAAAAAAAGCTGGTCTAAATGTAATTATGTAAGAGAAAGCATCATATATTAATAATACTAGACATACTTCCGCAGGGTCCTCGAAAGTGTTCCATTTCAAGAGTAAATAAAACCAAAATTAAGAGTAACAAATATTTTTATTCTTTGCTGTTGAAGTTCATTTGGCAATAAACATGTAGCTGATAATTTTATAAGATATTTCTACAAGTGATTATGACCATGTATCTATGAACTAGTAGAACTTTTCTTCACAATAATAATTAATAAATATTAAAGCACCTAATCTTATAGATTTAACAAACATATCTAAATATTTTCTTTAGGAATGTTTACATACATTTTGTTTCTCTTTGTTGTTTATAGAAAATAATGTTGACTATCTAGCTAAATGTACCTTATACACACCTTAAAAATTGACTACCCTAGAATCAAAAACATTAATATTAAAAACTTTGAATAGTAAAATAAAACTGTAAATACTAATTATTCTTCTGTATAATAGAAGTTGGGAAAATAACTAATTATTAAGTTTCACCAAACTATTTAAAATTTTGACTAGAATTTAGTGTATTTTTCTAAACCACTGAAACTTTGGTACAGTATTTTTGGTTTGTGTGTGTGTATATATATATATATATATATATATATACACACACAC